GCAAGCCCGTCTGGGAGGGTCAGGCCGGGGGGCGGGGGGGCTTCAGCACGGCTACCCACCCACCCTCCCAGGGCAGCCGTGCCCAGCCCAGGGCCCTGTTCCCAAGGCGCTGCTCCCTGCGTCCCGGCCTCATGGAATCCTGGATCAGAGGCCTGGGATTCTAGTCTCCTCCCTGCTTCTCTCCAAGCACGGTCTTCCGCAGCTCCTGGTTTCGCACTTGCTCCCCGCCAGTTTCTTTTCTGTTTTGGAAAGGGAGGAGGAGGAGGATGGAGAATGCCCCTTGTGACAAACGTCAAGCCCCCTCCCTCGTATTAAGCCTCTTTCCGTCTCTCCAGGTGTCACAGAGGCTGGAAGGATGCAGCGGCCAGGTGAGGTGGTGGTCTTGAGTCGAGAGCACCCGGTGGAACCAACCCTCTGCACGGGGCTTGCTCAGGCGTGCAGCGCCCTCCGCAGCCAAGCGCTCTCAGCCAAAAGGGTCCTGTTCCTTTGGCCCATCCCAGCCGGTCCGAAGGGTTTGGGCCCGAGGCCTGGGAATTGTTCCAGAAGATGGAAAGGCTGGTGCTTTTGCGCTTCTGGGATTGCAGTTCATCCCCATCAGGGAGGGATTAGAGAAGCTGGGGGAGGACGGACAAGATGCTCCTGGCAGGGCAGACGAGCTGCGGTCGTTTGGGTGCCTTATTAGGGCCCTGGCATAAATGGAAATAATTCAGATGGAGGAGAGAAAAATCCTCTGGCTGAAAATCAGGTCAGACTAACATCAGAACAACACAACTGAAACAGTGTGCCTTGACTGACAGTTGGCTCCTTGTCCCTGCTGTAGGGATAATGAGAAAACAGCATATTTGGTGAGCCCACCTTTGGTAAAACCAAGACTCAGTTCTCCATGTGGCAGTAGAACAGATTGCGTACGAAGCCCCTGATTTCTTCAGCCTCTGAACTGTAGGGCTCACGTGGCTCTAAAAGAGGGAGGTTCAGCCTCTTTTGGGAAGAAGACCGACTGAGGCTGACGGGTGGGGGGACTTGGCGGGACCTGTGGTGCTCCCCTAATGGCCTCATTTGCAAAAGCTCACCTCTCAATCCCTGATTAGCCTGTGCCGCTAGTGGTATAGGACCACGGGGCCCATAATCCCCAGGCAGCCTTGCCAATCTGGAGGGCATCAGCTTTGAAAGGTGGTGGCAATTGCCTTGCTGATGCTACTGGTGATCAGTTGTGTTGCAGCTTTTCATGGCCACTTTAACTTCTTTTTGCATCACTGATGCTTTGTGAGAAGTCCAGCCATTCTGTGCATCTGATAAAGAGACCCTTAGCTCATGAAAAGGGATGCCTTTGGATAAAATCTCTCAGTCTGATAAAGCGCTCCCAGATTCCTTCTGGATTTTGGCTATCATAAACATAGCTCTTCTCCTGCAAATATTGCCAGTTGATCTTTTTCATGTGTGCAGCCCGTGCAATTTCCCTTTAAGATCTGGATCTATTTTATAGACGTCCATTTATTTATATACAGACGGCCACACTTGGAGATTATGAAGCAGGTGTGCAGCCTTAATAACACCAAAGGCCTCCAGTGTACTCAAAGCTGTCATTGGTGTACTCCAAGAATACTGAACTATCTGGAGTCCTC